TAAAATAAAATAAAATAAAATAAAATAAAATAAAATAAAATAAATAAAAAATAAAAATAAATAAATTGTGTTAACAGCTGACTTTGAAAATTAGCTAAACAACATTTATAGAACAATTTTTATGTATGAGACACTGTGTTAAATATACCAACAACAAAAGGCAATGAGTAGAATGAGGATAAAATCTTTAAGCTTATGGAGTCTAAAATTCTGGCTGAAATTATAAGACACACAAATAGGAAAAAACAACTATACTTTGCAGCTATTTGCAAAGTTTCAAAGCACATTTACATGCCGGTAAGTGAAAATTTCCCTAGCCTTGATTTTCCTTCCACTGTGGACAACAGGTGAAAACACTAACCAGGGAAGGAGAAAGAAAAATCTGGCAATCATGAGGACCCAGTTATGGTTGGGGATTGAGCTCGTTTGGATATTTGTCCCTGCCCAAATCTCATGTTGAAATGTAATCCCTGTGTTAGAGGGAAGAGAAATGGGGATCATGGGGACAGTTTCCTCCTGGACTGGTGCTGTCCTGAGATAGTGAGTGAATTATCACGAGATCTGGTTGTTGTAAAGTGTGGCACCTCCCATGCCCCTACTCCTTCTTGATTCCGCTTCATCTTCCGCCATGAGTAAAAGGTCCTGAGGCCTCTTCAGAAGCGGAGTAAGTGCCAGCTCCATGCTTCCTGTACAGCCTACAGAACCATGGGTCCACTGAATGTCTTTTTGTTATAAATTACGCAGTCTCAAGGATTTCTTTAAAGCAATGCAAGAACAGTCTAATACAGGGATACTATGATTTTATTGTGGAGTCAAGCTAAACAACTACATACTTTTCTTTCTTTTTATTTATTTTTTTAAGAGGGAATTTTGCACTCTTGTTGCCCAGGCTGGAGAGCAATGGTGCAATCTCGGTTCACTGCAACCTTCACCTCTCAGGTTCAGGTGATTCTCCTGCCTCAGTCTCCCCAAAAGCTGGGACTACAGGCATAAGCCACCACATTTGACTAATTTTTGTATTTTTTTTTAGTAGAGTTGGGGTTGGTCTTGAACGTTGGTCGGCCTGGTCTTGAACTCCTGACCACAAGTGATCTGCCCGCCTTGGTCTCCCAAAGTATTGGGATTATAGGCGTGAGCCACTGTGCCTAGCCAATTATGTACATTTCTTGTGCAGCACTCAACAGCAAATGTATAGTTAAAATGATATAAATTTGGATTAATTCAGAGATGGAAAATTCCAGGTGACAGTGACACAGAAGAAATAAAGGAATGTGGATATAAGCAAGAGACTGAATGAAAAGAAGCTAGACTTGAGCCAGTTTTGTATACGTGAAAAACATATCTAAATAGATATTTGGGGAAGATCAGCCTGGTAATGCACTAAAGGAGGAACTGAAAGGGGGAGAACCTGGTACAAGGAAGCTGGACAAACAGACAAAGCTGTGGGAACTCAACAGAAATCATGAGTTGGGGAGAGGGACAGTCCCCTCATGAAGTAATATTGACAGGACCTAGTACTGACCAGGGGTGCTGGATGAAGGATGAGATACGTAGTACTTGAAGATTCTAAGACAGAGAAAAATGGTTTAAAATCAAGTAAAATTAAGTAAATAGAAAACTAGAAAACTTGATTTGAGGAAAATCTCCTTTAAGGAGATGATGACAGGGCATCTACGTAAAAAATGTCAGTAATACAATTCAAGAGAAAGTTAAGAGCTGACAACAGTTTGAAGTGTCAATTTTAGAGAGTAAATGGCCAAAGTCAGGGTTACAGATACAATGAAGAAAAAACAGAAAGAGAAAAAAAAATCGTTCTGAAGGCCAAAAAGTAAGCCTCAGGTAAACAATTGCTCAGGAAAAGAGAAAAAGGAAAACATACTGAAAGGATTAAGAGTGTAAGCAGAAAAGCCAAGATAGTCTACAGATGAAAAGTATACTACAAAAGACAAACATTAGGCAAATGTTATCAGTGTTTTAACAGGTAGGCACAGAGGGTTAGAAACGCTTATACTGAAATGATCTAATAGTCTATCAGTTGGACAGGGCGTAGTGGCTCGTTTGAGGTCAGGAGTTCAAGACCAGCCTGGCCAACATGGTGAAACCCCATCTGTACTAAAAATGCAAAAATTAGCTGGGCATGATGGCAGGCGACTGTAATCCCAGCTACTCAGGAGGCTGAGGCAGGAGAATAGCTTGAACCCAGGAGATGAAGGTTGCAGTGAGCCGAGATCAAGCCACTGCACTCCAGGTTGAGCAACAGAGCAAGATTACATCAAGAAAGATAGGCAGAAAGAAAGACAGACGGATGGAAGGAAGGAAGGAAGGAAGGAAGGAAGGAAGGAAGGAAGGAAGGAAGGAAGGA